GAGTGGGTTTTGTTTTGTGGGGTGTCTGAGCACCCCTGAAAATGTATTTCATGAGTATGGGACTTGTGACTCATTCTTTTAGGAGACACCCCCTAATCGTTGAGATCCACTAAGCTAACACATGAAGCATTAGAGGAGAATGTGGAGGGGAGCATGAACTAGCCGAGAACCATATCCCACACAGATCCATTCTTTAGCCCAAGGACACTAGTCTCAAGGGAGGCCTGTGACACTCTGAGAACAAGAAGCAGCCCAGGCAGGGAGGGTGCTCCTCTTCAGAATCTCCTCCATCTATGAGATTCTGCATTTTCTGTGTCTTTGGAGCAGAGAAGGCCCTGTAGCAGTCTCTGGCAGCATCTCTCCCTCCTCCCCACCCCCCACCCCCCCCACCCGCCGCAATCTGTCCTCAATGAACTTGACATGCTTCAAACTCTCACCCTCTGACAGCTTGTCAAATATTCAAAGCCCACCATCTAACCTTCATGTGACTCTTCCCTTTTCTAGATTTCCTTCAGACTTTCTTAGATCTCTTTGCCATCTTCACAGACATTCAACACAAGAGGCTTCTGTTAAAATGGAGCTGCCACATAGGCCCGGGCCCTTGTCTTCAGGCTGTACTCCACATGCTGTGGAAGATGGCCCTGGCTCACAGTGAGACCTAAGATCCCTGATCTAGTTCAAGTATTGATAGCTAATCTCATTTTACTTCTCGGCTTTTAAGGACGCAATAGCAACTTTCCCATCACTGACTTTGTGTTGTTGTTATTGTTCGGTCGTGGGGCTTGAACTCTGGGCCTGGGTGCTGTCCCTGCACTCTTCAGCTCAAGGCAAGCACTCTACCACTTGAGCCATGGCTCCACTTCCGGTTTTCTAGTGGTTTATTGGAGGTAAGAGTCTCACGGATATTTCTGCCTGGGCTGGCTTTGAACCAAGATCCTCAGATCTCAGCCTCCTGAGTAGCTAGGATTACAGACGTGAGCCACTGGCACCTGACTTTTTTAAAATATAAACACATTTTATGCATTTGAGAGGTGACTGCTCACTTTGCATACTTCCAAGGGGGACAAGTTTTTCCCACAGAACTTGCCACAGGCCTGAAAGTGGAAAGAATGGACTGTGTGAGTCTCCACACAGCTCCCTTGTCACCTGCCATCTGCAACCTGCAGTTTTAGTGGCTTCTACCCAGCCATCTTGTAAAATGGATGATAAATTCCCTGAGGGAAGAGTCATCCATGTTAGCCTCTCTACATCGACAGAGTTTATCCCATTGGGAAATGCTCATATCAAGTTCATCACTGTGTCTTATGGTTTCCACTTCCTGTCTCAGGTCATCTGCCCTTTCACCCCCCAAAACTCTATCCCCTGTCCTCTCTCTTGGACCTGTGGTAGTATCTCAGGGCTCTGCTTTCTATCCAGGTACTGCTGGAAAAGTTTTAAAACTCTAATTGGATTCCACTGTGGGAGCAGATTCTATTTCACCTGCATGATGTGAAGAACTTGCCCAGGTTTTTCTGCACAAGGCCACTCTCCTACAGAGCAGTCTGTACACCAGAGGAGCACAAGGCCAGAGAGGGGAGAGAGAGTTCCATCATAGATGGGAGAGGCCTGTTTCAAAGAAGGGCCTTTGAGCCCACATCACCGCTTCTCAGAAGCCTTTCTGAACCTGCCCAGGTAGAAACACCTCTCCTTCCCTCCTGTCCTGGCCGTCTCTGACATAAAATGAAACCATATAGTATTTTCCATTTATTTTTTGACAAGGTTCTCTCTCATTGTTATATCAGAAGCCTCTTGTAGGAAGGCTGAACGTTGTCTTTGAGTAAAACCTGGGTCTGGTTAAATGATAAATAACCTGCACAGAAAGGATCTCATTCTCTTCAGGAATGCCTGCCCGGGACTAAGTGGAAGAGCACTGTTAAGCTCAGCCAGTGCTGAACTTCCTAGTTCAGGATTCAAGATCTACTTGAATCCTTTCCCCCTGGACAAGAGCAGTCGGACTTGTGCTAATGAAGGGGCTGTGGCTCAGTCTCCCTGGAAAGCTCTGGTTCTCAGTCTGTGTTAGCATGGCTGCCCCTTCTCAACCAACAGCTGGACACTCCCTCCTCTCTGAACAGAGCCCTCTCCTGTGCATTCTTCTGACCCGGCAACCACTTCACTAGGCCTGCTTTATTTCTAAGCTCATTTCTCCTCTGGCCTCATGAGTTGCTGGTGAATCCAGGCCCCTGACATGGCCCTGGAAGACTATCTCTGATCCTGCTACACTGAACAACATCTACTGACTCCCACAGTATGCTATAGGAAGACCAGGGAATAAGGCCCTGGAACTCCTGACTACCCCCAGACAATTGCTAGAATTTACTGGAATTACATTTAAAATTCTAGAGATCAGAGCTGGGGGAAAGGCTCCAGTGGTACTGTGCTAGCCTAACAAGAGTGTTGCCAAAAAGAAACACACACACACACACACACACACACACACACACACACCACAAACTCTAGAGCTCATCAAAGTGCTAAATAATACTAAAGAATTAGTGTAACAGCCGTACTAGTATGCCTTTAATGCTCCTGCTATGGTCATTGCTGTTATACTACAGTGTTGTATACTATTTGATACAATAGTATCAAATCACGTTGTACTCCAAGGAAAATTGTACTAAATACCAAATGATGAAAGGAACACTAAATGTGGTGCTATCAGTAAGGTTAAAGTGTTGATAAGATTATTATTGCTGTTCTTGGACAGTTTCTGTTTCTGACACCTTGGCATTAAATGTGCTGAGTTCTAATCCAGGTGAGATCAGTCAGGACTCTTTAGGTTGTCCATGACAGATACCTGATGAAACTTAGGTCAAAGGTCAAAAGGAGTTGCCAAGTGGCCAGACTCTTAGAGGAGAAGGGACACCACTGGGCCTCAGGGAGAGCTAAAGATCGAAGGCCCTTGCTTTCTCTTCACCTTGGCTCTCTTTGAATGTCAGATCTATCTTCTCTCACCTTTAGATGAGCGTTTTCCAGGTAGCCGAGATATATAGCCTGAAACAGTGAATTCTTCTCATGAATTCTTCTCCTAGAAAGGAAATAAACAATATCTCTTCCTATCTTTCCCTCCTCCTTTCCTTCCTTTCTCTCTCTCTTCAAATATCATGAAAGAGGCACCTTATCCGCTCACCTCAAGTCTTGGGCTGCTTGATCAGAGAGAGGATATTGTGCGTGGCCCAGCCTGAGCGAAGTTCCTGCCCCCTCCAGAACATTTGTGGGGTCAATAGAGTGAGGAGTGTATCATGTGAAAATGTAGCAGCCATGGGCTGGAAGCAGAGATTCATGGGAACATAGTATTGAAAAGAGCGATAGAGTCAGACATTTGATATTGTAAGTACAACCTGTGCTCTCATTGTCTGAACCTGATCCCTCTCACCTTCAAATTCAACAATATAGGAGAACAACGATGTGGCTGGGGCTGGTGGCTGGTATCCCTTGAACAGCTGGTGTCAAGAATGCATTTTTCATTTACATGCATCTCTCTATCAGATGTCAATTTAAATGGCTTCTATCATGTCATAAACTTCATCCATTGTTTTCAATTATTCAACCTATATTTACATAGCTCACATTCTACTTAATGTAGAAGATAGAAAGATGAGACAGACAGGTCCTGCCCTAAAGAGATTAGAGTCTAGTGAGAAAGATGACCATGTAAGCCTATAATTTGTACTGGGTGTAACAAGAACTATGATCAAGGTATGAGTTTGTCACTGTAGCATTAACATGGAGCCAGAGACTGGCTATGTATTAAATCATCACACAGTTTCTCTTCCATGTGTTTCCTCTTCTCTAACCTTACAATGGTCCCTCCTTGTCCAGTGACTTTCCTGTATATTATAGTTCACTCAGCACAGCCTGGAGAACAAATGAAACCTGATTTCATTTCTTTGCTTCACCCTGACATAAAACAGGGCTTTGAAATTACTTCTTGGGACCCCAAGATTCCCACAGAACACCCTCTAGAAAATGGAGGCCAATCCCAATCTGTCCCAGCAATATGGTGAAAGATCCTGACCTGTATTCACCAGCTTGTGTCCATTTCTGTCCAACCAATGGCATTCTGCCTTCTGTCAATAAGCTTGTGGCCACCGACACACAATACACTCCTGTCCCCAGCACACCAGTCAGGCAGTCTGACGGCCACTGTCTCTATGACTACAGATCTCATTAATGTTGTGGTGAAGAGGAGGAAGTCAGCTCTGGATGAGAAAAAGCCCTAAGTGTGCAGATGCAGGATTCAATTCTTTACAACAGGATGTCTAAGACTTCAGTATGCCTCGGTCACTTGAGACTTTGTCCAAAGTGAATCTGATTGAGATGGGACCCTAAATTTATATTTATGACAAGCTACTGGCTGTAGTTGAAGCTGCTGGCCCACAGATCACACTTTAGGAAGCAAAGTCCTAGATGGAAGATGATAATTCATCTTAGAATCTCTGAAGAAAAAAAAAAAAACCAATTAATAGGCTGGTGGCTTTCTTAAAAAACCTTGAGATGGAAGAATATGACCTTGAAAAAATTATTTTGGAAACCTGTTTATAATAGGAACCCTTAGATCAAAGTTAAGAGGTCTTGTAATCTTACAAAACTATATTGAAAATGTCTCAGTTCTGGCTGGGTGTGGGGGCTCATGCCTGAAATCCTAGCAACTTAGGAGCCTGAGATCTGAGGCTCATAGTTTGAAGCCAGGCTGGGTAGGCAATTAAGCACTAAAACTAAGCACTAAAACAGCTAGAAGCGGAGCTGTGGCTCAATTGGTAGAACACCAAAAGCTCAGGGATAGTGCCCAGGCTCTAAGTTCAAATCCCAAAACTGGCACAAAGAAAAAAAATTCTCAGTTCTGAGTTGTAACAAATCTTACCTTGAGCTAATTAACTCATATGATATTATTAGAACAAAAAAATTAAGGAAAATGCAAATTATAATCTATGGTATGTTTATCTTGTATTTTCTCTTTGTAGGCAATGTCAGTGAGAAAAAGGATCCAGAATGATTACTAACCTATGACTCCCAACAGTATGACAGGTATCTATATATTCTCTTGATTTTCTTTGTGTCTCCATTTGTGTTCCACCTAAAGTGAAGTGTAGAACTCCTAAAGGCCAATCTGATGGTCTTAGCAGCCATTATTATCCTTGTGAAACATCCCTACAATGTGTTCTATAATCTTCAGAAATCTTCAGAGATACATCATAACCAGGCTGATAATGGAGGGGCAAGGTTAGTTTGAAGACTTCCAAAGATCACCCTTGTACGCTGAATGTTGTTCTTTATGGTTTCTCATATCCATATAATAGATGGCTCTAGAACCTTACCAAGTCCGTGGATCTTCCCCAAAGTGGGCTATTCATCCCACTCAACAAAAACCCAAATGACACAAGAAAGTTATGAAATGTATTAGCCAGGACCAAAGCAGGGACTGAACAAACCTCAGAAGGATATAAGCTTCCCACAGCACACATTCCTTATACAACACCTAGAGCAGAGTTTGAACACACACACACACAGGCCCCTGGTCAGGGGAAGGGGCAGGAAGGGGAGAAGAGGCAAATAAAAGCAATGACTAAAATGGGTACAAGAGTACTCAGCATACACACACCAATCACTGGAGAGCAGTGTGTCCAGACAGTGCTCCTTGTCAAGAGAAATAAGAAATAGACTAGTGGGCCAGTCAAAATGTGTTGCCTGCTGTCAACCTCTGAGCTGTTAGTTTATGAGGCCTGATGTACACCCTTCAGCCTAGCACCAAGCCCTGTTCTTTTGATTCCCATGGTACTAGGGGAAAATATACCCATAAAACTCCTAACTCCCAAATATGCAGGTAGTTCAATTAACCCCACTTCCCTATAGTTCCTCTGAGAATCCATTCTCTAGTAGACCTGAAAAACAAAAGCAACTGGAAGTTGCCACCCCACTGAAAGCTGGAAGACTCCCAATGCATATACAAACACGTTATCTCTCTGGCATCTCTGCCATGCCTCTCTACCCACCAACGCTTGAGCTCCCGATGGAGCAAAAACAACAGAGGACCCAGAAAACCAGAATGGTTCATCTCTCCAAAGGATGAGGACCTCTGAAATGCATCCCATTTCCTTCTCATCTTTTGTTCACATTTCACAAATACCAAAAGCTCACCCACTCCCAGTTCTGTCCAACTGCCAACAAAGCCAAACTCTTCCCTACTTTAAATCTCTCTTACTCCTGCTCTGCCATAAACCCACCCATTGAGTGGAAAATTGGCAAACATCAACCTTAGTGATAGCCCTGGGTTCATGCTGGACTGAACAGTACTCTCGGTCAGTAGGAGTTATGGTTTAGGTCTTTATGGGTACATGATAGCAGTTAGCAGGCAGTGGCATTGCAAACCTAGGGAAAGTGTCTCCCTCTGCTAATGGACATGTGAGGTCAAGTATTACACAAAGGTGGCTCTATACTCTGATAATTTACCCACTTGAGAATCCTTCTAAAGACAGAAGAATGCACCTTCCTGAGACATAGAGTAATAGCACAGACAGAATAATGCACCTTCCTGAGGCATAGAGTAATAGTGGCATTTGGTCTAAAGGTGGTTAATACAATAATTTCTGCTCACAGTAGAGGGGACTTCTATGTCGTATGCCATAGAACAATCCATCCCAGGTTTCTCCCAGATCAGAGACTGATGGATTGACACCAGATTATGAAGGCTAATGAGTAAATATTTCTAATTTCACTGACCACACGGTGACTTGTCATAACTAGGCAATTCTGCCATGGCAGCATAAAAACTACAGGCCATACGTAAACATGCAGAAATGACTGTGTTTCAGTACAACTTGAGTTGCCAAACAGGCAGCAGGCTATCTCTGGCCATAAGCCATCCTTTTCTGATGTTTTTTTCTGGAGTCCCTGACTGTGCTATTAGAACCTTCTAGCTCCAACCCATAGCAGTGTTGAGCAGAACCCCTGCAGCTGAGTGACTGGAGGCTGCACTTTCTTCCTACTGTAGAAACTAACTGTAGGTGGTTGTATTTTCATAAGAGACAACTCCATTAAATGAACATGCTCAGGGTATGGTAAAGGGTTGAAACAAGAAAATCATTACTTTAGAAGCTTATTTTATATATGAAATGAAAGTGTCCCTTTCTCTCTCTTCCTTCTTCCTATTTCCCTCCCTCCCTCCCCCTTTCTTTCTGTCTCTCTCTCTGTCTTTGTCTCTCTGTGTCTCTGTGTGTGTGTCTCTCTCTCACATACACACAAACACACTTTGTCTCTCTTTCACTCAATGTGGGGTTGGGCTAGCTACATGTTTAGTTTATAAAACCTAAAAGAGAAACCATAATAAACTCTTAAGCTGTTAGGACTAACTGCTTGCTCTAGGAGCAAAATCTGAAAGCCAAATATTCATATTTTTTCTTTCTGTTTTCCTAAAAGCAAGCAGGACAGCTTTTCCATATAGAACCCACATAAATTTTTGGTACATAGGTTCTTTCATTTCCAATGCCTACTGAATTGCTTTAACCCACTTAATTTTAAACTAGGACTTCATAAAGTTTCTCTTCAAAAAGAAAAAAAAACTGATTCCTAGAGAGGAAATAAGAAAGTACCTTAACATGATGTCTTAATAGTCTGGAATTAGGCCTCACTTCCTAGGTGATCTGAGGGGAGCTCTGCTGACATGTATGACATGTGATGAGCTCTATTTGGAATAAAATCATGATTTACAGCATGGGGGAAATTTTATCTAAGCTAGGAATACCTAAAAATTTTCAATACCAAAGTTAGAGGCTCTCGGCTTTATTTGAAAAGAAAAGCAATGAGGAGGCAGAAGCAAGGGTCTGTAGTGTGTGTGTGTGTGTGTGTGTGTGTGTGTGTGTGTGTGTGTGTGTAACCAGGCAGCAGGAAACTAGGAGGTGGCATTAAGTTAGCACTGTTGCCTTTGAAACTGGACTCTTCAAGAGACAGTAGGAGGCTTTAAAAACAGGCACCAGCTACCAGCACCTTTCAGGGGGAAAAATGAATAAGCAAGACAACAGTACGTACTTGAAAACCAACGGCCCTTTAGAATGAACCACATATTCCTCGTTCCTTGCACTTCCGGTGAGGTATTGTTTATTTAACCTCCCTGTGGTGTTCATCTTCCATCCCTCTATGGAGGCATCCGCACGGATGTAGCAGAGAGGATGCTCGCTTCAATGGAGCTCTCAGTACTTGCCCCTGGCTCCCCCTCTTGCATTGTGTCCTTTGGGTTACCCTGCATTCGCTTGTTTTATGAGTGGTATTCTGTTAAGCATAATTCAGTATTTGCATTTTCTTTATTACTTCTGGGGTTGAGTATTTTTACATATATGTTGTCTACTTGGATTTCACCTATAACTTGATGTCCATAGTTACTGTCCATTTGCCTATTATGAACTTTGTCTTTTTTGTTTTTGCTTTACTTAATGAACTTTGTTTTACTTAATGATGCTTAAGGATATCAACAAAGGAAGACACTTAATGTCTCTAAATCTTGTATTCCTTATGAGTTAAATGAGAGTCTGACTAACTCATTTCTAACTCTCCTCTGCTTTGAAGATCCTATTATTTATGTTTTAAAATTGAATAGGAATTAAATTGTCATAATGTAACGCATTGATGGGTGAACATAAAAAAGTAAGCCCTGGAGCAAAGTGTTTTGTGTTTTGAGACTATTCTACAAAACCAGCTTTTCAAAGCCAAACAAAACTCTGGAAGGGGTAGCCTATGGCATTTTTTCCAAGGGTCTCTTTCCATCAACTGCTCTTCAATAGCCATTCATTCCTTCAGAAACAGAATCACAGTGTCTGCATGTCCTACCAGTAAGTACATAGCTCGGTGTGGTTACTGACAGAAGGTTGCTGACAGCAAAGTAATGACATGCCTCCAAGTTAACTAATGGCCTCTCACTTGCTAGGAAGCTCCTCCTCTACCACTTAAGCCACACCCACAGCCCAAAGATAGCTAGTTTTACCAGTGAACATAGTGTTAATGTTTCCTGTTTCAATAAACAGTCTTCAGCCAAAGGCTCTTACTCATGGATACTGAGTAATTCATAATAGTGATATTGTCCCTGCATGTTAGCCTGTTAAGACTACATTACCAGAATAGTATAAGATGAATGTATATTTGTTGGAAAATGGAAGATATTTTATAACTACCTGCTTTGTGCATAATTTTGCACCTGTTTTTTTTTTGCTCCCTCTAGATAAGTCCTAAGTAAAAGGAAAGGCTAAATTGAAGAACTGAACATCATTAAAAAAAACTGTTGCTAAATTATAACTAAATTATTTGCCCAATGGAGGTAGCCAGTAGCAATGCAAATCTCATTTAATCATACACCCTCTAACTACAGAATTTGGGGGAACTTAGTCTCTTTGTGTTGAGGAGGTCATTTATTAAGTAAAGGTTTTGTTGTTTTGGTTTGGCTTTTGTACCAGTACTAGAATTTGAACTCAGAGCCTGAGTGCTGTCCCTTAGTTTTTCACTCAAGGATGGTGCTCTATCACTGAGTCACAGCCTTACTTCCAGCTCTTTCTCATTAATTGGAGATAAGAGCCTCACAGACTTTCCTGCCCAGCCTGGCTTAGAACCATGATCCTCAGATCTCAGCTTCCTGAGTGGCTAGGGTTACAGATGTAAACCCTTGGCACTCAGCTTTAAGCAAAGTTTTACAACTTTTGAAAACTATCAATTTACCTTTTTTAAATAATTTGGTTTACATACCCACAAATGGATCAGTAACAAAAACTTTTATTGTTTCTGAAATGTATATGTTTGTCTATTGTAGTATTTGTCTTTTAAATTCATTATCTATCATAAATATTAAAATATTTTCCAAAATTAGTAGATGTGTCTTCTTTTTATTTATGACATTTTACCTTTAAAACCGTTTTTTGTCTGGTTCTTAGTGCTTACACTCAGGGCCTGAGCACTTCCCTAAGCTTCTTTGTGCTCAAGGCTAGCACTCTTCAACTTGACCCATAGCACCACTTCTGGCTTTTTCTGAGTAATATATTGGAGATAAA